ACAGCAGGAGGGGCTTCCCACTTCAGTGTCCTAATGGGAATCACCCACTACAGGCATTCTCAGAGGCCTGTCTTCCAGGTGTTTCTAGGTCTCAGCAAGTTGAGGATCAAGGTTAACTATCAATGCCTCTGCTTATAATCTGTTATCAGAGAATCACGTTCTACTGCAACACCAATGTTTACAAGGAGTTTAATAACTGGTTTCAGGAGAATTCATATCTTTTTCAGTCGTCTGGACAGTATTTTGTATATTTGAAAGCACAATTCTGAGAAGTTCACAAATTCGTCCGACTGACTGTGGCAGGTAACCCTCAGACTATAAAATATTAATGTGTGGTTTGAAAGAAAATGGCCCCCAAAGGGAGTGGCACTCTTAGGAGGTGTGGTCTTGCTGGAGGATGTGGGTCATTGTGGAGGCAGGCTTTGAGGGTTCAGATATGCTCAAGCCACAGCCAGAGTCTCAGACCCCTTCCCGCTGCCTGCAAGTCAAGACGAAGGATACTTTTCCAGCACCATGCCTGCCTGCACGCCACCATGTCACACCATGATGATAATGGACTAAACTTCTGGAAACGTAAGCCACCTCAGTGACATGTTTTTCCTTTATAAGAGTTGCCATGGTCATGATGTTTCTTCATAGCGATAGAAACTCCAACTAAGACAAGGGGGTAGTTAAGGTTGAAGACAGAATTGAGGTGGCTAAACTGCTGATGCTAAGATGGGAAATGAGGGCAGGGAATCCAGGATCTTTCAAATGAAAGACAGAGGCAGTAGAGTTAGGGGTCTGTGTCAGAGATGAAGCTGTGCTTATGAGAGAAGAAGTGGGAGTCGCTGTACGATGCTGACTTTGAAGATGGAAGGAGTCACAAGTCAAGGAAGGCAGGCAGCCCCCAGAAGCTGCAGAAGGCAAGAAAGTAGCTTCCATTCTGGATCCTCTGGAAGGAGGCAATCCCATTGATCTCTTGGTTTTAGCACCAGGAGACCTGTTTTGAACTTCTAATCCGTGGTGGAAGTAAATTACCCCAACGCAGCACTTAGAAATATTTTATTTTGTTCCGTTTCTTTCTGTGGGCCAGGAATTTGGGAATGGCTTTGCCAAACGGCTCTGGCTGTCTTGTGAGATTGTAATCAGGCTATCAGCTGGGGCTGATTGCATCTGAAGGGCTGACCGGGCTGAAGAAACCTCTTCCAAGATGGTCATTGCCTTTAGTCCATGGACACACCACAGGGCAGCTGGGGTGTTTACAGCGTAATATTTGGTGAGACCCGGTGATCTCTGAGAGAGGGCAAGGAAGAAGGCAGACATGGTGTCTAACGTGGCTTTGGAGGTGACAATAATATAATTATTGTTACCCTCATTTCCTCCAGAGATGATGCTGATGTCAAGAGGAGGGGAAATAGACTCCTCTTCTTAAAAGAGAGAGCATCAAAGTATTTGGGAACAGATTTTATTTATTTTTTTTATCTTGCAGTAGTGGGGATGGAACCCAGGACCGTGTATCCACTAGGATAGTGCTCGGCCACTAAACGTCATTCCTAACCTGATGTCTTTTAAAACTGTTGCGCTACTTTTCCATCTTTATTTTTATTTCTGTTCCTTTAAAACATTTCCATCAGTCAATACTCCAGCATGAACTCCTGCTCCAAGCTGAGAGCTGCTGACAGTGGATGGCTTCTCGGGGAGGGAGAGTCAGTTTTCCTTTTGGGTGTGGCTCCTGGTAGGTGGACCACACTCCAGAGGACGGCCCCACACCCCTGAACATATGGGCAGCACAAACTGGGTTATTAAAAAAAAGTCAGTAGTTGGGAGGGGGCGTGGGGATGTGGGAGTGGATCTGGGAGGAGTTATGGGAAGGAGTGGGACTGTGATCAAAATACACGGCATGAAAAGTCTCAAATAATTAATACAAGTATCATATTAAAATTTTCCATGAACAAATGTACATGAAACTTGAAAACTTTGGGCAGAGTTGAAATGGTCAGAAAGACTTTGCACAGAAAGTCACATTCGAATCCAACTTCTCGAACTCATTAGGAAAACCAAATCAGTAGTTCAAATCTGAAGCCAAAGAAAAGAAACCCTTCTTTGTGGAAATTCTGTCCTGATGAGTGTGGTCAGGAACACAGTATTTTTAAAAAATAAACTTTTAATTTTAGAATAACTTTAGTACAGAATACAGTTTCCAAGACAATGCAGAGAAACCATGTAGCTCGTGCTGGGCTCCCCCACACTGCGGCTTTCTTAGCGACTGCAGTATGTCTGGCTAACCCATGGACCAACATACACGGGCTGTTGCTTAAACTTGTAATGTTTCTGTGTTTTCTTAGTTTTGACCTAATGCCCCTTCTTCAATGTAGCAGTTTGATGTTAGGGGTCCCATGTATTTGTAGTAACTTCTGACTACTGGGGTAAACTGGCTGGTTTTGTGTATCAACTTGATACAAACTAGAGTCATCAGAGAGGGAGGAAACTCCATTGAGGAAATGCCTCCTTCAGATTTGGTTTTAAGGCATTTTCTCAACTCGTGATTGATGAGGGAGGACCCAGCCCATGATGGGTGGCTCCATTCCTGGGCTGGTGGTTCTGAGTTCTATAAGAAAGCAGGCTAGTCCAAGGTCCTCCCCTCTCCATCCAAGTCCAGGAAGGTGAGCATCCAAACAGGCTAGGCTCCCACAAAGCCAGTTCATCATGCAGTAGGATCAAAACCCAGTGCCATTGTCCTTGGCTTCTCATCAGCCCTCATTGTCCACCATGTTCAGAGAGTCCGGTTTTATCACATGCTTATTCAGTCCCAGTCCAGCTGGCCTTGGTGAGCTCCCAATAGATCCCACAGGGCAGGGAATCCAGACTGCTCTTCAGACTGGAGAGGGAGGGGGAATGGAGTGGGGGGAGGGGAGCGGAGTGGGAGGACAGGGAGGGAAATGGGAGGCGGGGAGGAGGCAGAAATTTTTTCAATAAAAAAAATAAACAACAAAAAAAGAAAGCAGGCTAAACTTTTGGGTATATACCCAAAGGATGCTCATTCATGCCACAAGCACATGTCCTCAACTATGCTCATAGCAGCATTATTTGTAATAGCCAGAACCTGGAAACAACCTAGATGCCCCTCAACCGAAGAATGGATAAAGAAAATGTGGTACATTTACACAATGGAGTACTGCTCACCGATAAAAAATAATGACATCTTGAAATTTGCAGGTAAATGAATGAATCCAGAAAAAAAACTATATTGGGTGAAGTAACCCAGACCCAGAAAGACAAATATAATATGTACTCACTCATAAGTGGTTTTTAGACACAAAGCAAAGAAAAATCAGCCTACAATCCACAATCCCAGAGAACCTAGACAGCAAAGAGGACCCTAAGAGAGACATATGTGGATCTAAATAGGAAGGAGAAAAAGACAAGATCTCCTGGGTAAATGGGGAGCATGGGAGTCAAGGGAGGGGGGAGAAGGGGAGGGGGAGGAAGGGAGCGGATAAAAATGTGTAGCTCAATAAAAATAATAAAGAAAGCAGGCTGAGTAAGCCATGTGGAGCAAACCAGTAAGCAGCACTCCTCCATGGCCTCTGCATCAGCTCCTAACTCCAGGATCTTGCCCTGTTTGAGTTCCTGTCCTGACTTCCTTTGGTGATGAACAGCAATATGGAAGTATAAACCAAATAAATTCTTTTCCTCCCTAACTTGCTTTTTTTCCATGAGGAAGGAGATTTTTTTTGTATGTAGGAAATGCATACATCAGTATGGGGTGTCTTTCTCTCCTCCCCCTTTCCTGAAAGACAACTGTCTGTAAGAAGCAAAATATACCAAATGGAAAAAAGAAAGCATATTTAACAAATGGTGCTGGCATAACTGGATATCAACATGTAGAAAAATGAAAATAGACCCATATCTATCACTATGCACAAAACTCAAATCCAAATGGATCAAAGACCTCAACATAAAGTCAGCCACACTAAACTTTATAGAAGAGAAAGTGGGTAGTACACTTGAATGCATTGGCCCAGGAGACCACTTTCTAAATATAACCCCAGCAGCACAGACACTGAGAGAAACAATTAATAAATGGGACCTCCTGAAACTGAAAAGCTTCTGTAAAGCAAAGGACATGGTCAACAAGACAAAACAAGAGCCTACAGAATGGGAAAAGATCTTCACTAACCCCACATCAGACAGAAGTCTGATCTCCAAAATATACAAAGAACTCAAGAAATTGGTCATCAAAAGAACAAATAATCCGATAAAAAATGGAGTACAGACCTAAATAGAGAACTCTCAACAGAGGAATCTAAAATGGCTGAAAGACACTTAAGGAAATGTTCAATATCCTTAGTCATCAGAGAAATGCAAATCAAAACAACTCTGAGATTCCATCTTACACCTGTAAGAATAGCCAAGATCAAAAACACTGATGTTAACTTATGCTGGAGAAGTTGTGGGGAAAAGGGAACACAGTATCAGTTTTAAGTCCTTCCATGATGAGAACACTGAGGGAGCCTACCACTTTGTGATTCTCAAGGTTTCAAGTAGAAAAGAAACCGCCTGATGAAACTGACGGAGGACACAAGTGGTATTTTATTGTATGTGATGAACCATTTTTGGAGCCTACACAAATCCATAAGTGGGGGTGTGGTTAGAGAAAACCCCTTCAAGTTGTTTGTTGCACGCTGTTTTCCTTCACATTCATCGCTGTCTTTCCTGGGCATCTCCAGTCCTCATCCGATTGTGTAATTTTCTAGTTCCCTTTGGAAACTGATCTTAGGAGAGGAGGGTTTCAATTAAGCAGTCCCTTGAGAAATTCTTCGGCAAAAAAATTTGTATTTCCTTTTTAGAATCCTAAGTTGTAAAAAAAATAGTGGGCTATGGTAAACTCCTGAAAAATATTAAGCAACATGGTTATATTGTAAGTTCTCTTCCAGTGAATGAGGTTAGCCATTAAACACTTCTGTGCACAGTAGTCAATGTATCTACCTTCTTTATGATTCCTTTAAAATCTCTAGGAGGTGGAGACAACTTTTCAGATGGGTGTGCTGCACCGTGTATCTGAAGACAGTGAGGAAGTGGCTATGAAGAGCTAGCATGGATCCTGCTCTTTAGAGACCCTGAAGTTCATATGCAAAAGTTCCCCGTGTTGAATCGCAATTGCCTTTACCTTGAGGACTTCATATATGTATGTATAGTGAAATATAATCATTCCACTGAATTTCTCTCCTCCTCCTCTCTCCCATATCCCTTGAACATGTCCCATCCCTTCCCAATTCTGTCTTCTCCACCTCCTCTTCCTTTTCTTCTGCTAACCTATTAGATACCGGTTAGTGGTGCCTACATGTGCCCGGGTATTGAGCCATACCTGGAGCAAGGGCATCGTACACATGGGAACACCTCCAAAGAAGAATGAGTTTTTTTCTCCCAGCAACCATCAACAGCTGATAGTTCTTCAGTAAGGGTAAGACCCAAGAGCGCCTCTTCCATCTTTGCCAGAATGTTTGCTGGGTTGATCTTGCACAGGTAGTCACAGCTGCTTTGAATCCATGTGTGTGAGAGTCACATCCTGCCTGAGAGGGCATTTCACTGAACTCTCCCAGATCCTCTGACTTTTGGCTTATTTCTGCCTCTTCTTTCAGGATGTTCCTTAGGTATTGGTAGATGGTGGTGGGGTTGGGTGGTGGTGGGATTTGATAAAGATATCTTCTTTAGGGTCAAGCACTCAGTCTCAACACTGACTGTTGTCCACTGTGAAAAGAAGTGTCTCTTACTAGGCTGGCTCGCAGTTTACAAGTTTAGTGCATTATCATCATGGCAGAAAGCATGATCCATGAGGATGGGAAGTCTTTCCATCTTCTGATGTCTTCTTCAGTTTCTTTCTTCAATATTTTAAAGTTTTCATTATATCAGTATTTACTTGCTTGGTTAGAGTGACACACACACACACACACACACACACACACACACACACACACACACAGAGTTATTGTGAAAGGCACTGTTTCCCTGATTATTTATCAGGATGTTGTCATTTGTATATAGGAAGGCTGCTGATTTTTATGTTGTTGATTTTTTTGTCCTGACACTTTGTTGGAAACATTTATCAGCTGTAGATGTTTCCTGGCAGAGTCTTTGGGTTCTTTTATGTATAAAATCATATCATCTGACTTTTTTCTTTCTTATTTGTATCTCCTTCATCTCCTTTGGTTGTCATGTTACTCTAGCTAAGACTTCAAATGATGTATTGAATAGGTATGTAGAGAGCAGACAACTTTTTTTTGGTGTGATTTTAGTAGAATTGCTTTGAGTTTCTCTCTGTTTAGAAAGGTGATGGATGTGAACTTGGTGTAAATTGTCTTCACCATGTTGATGTATGTTCTTCGCATCCCTAGTCTCTTCAAGACTTTTTATCATGAAGGGTTATTGGCCGTTTTCAAAGGCATGTTCTGCATCCAGTGAGATTATCATGTGGTTTTGCCTTCCAGTCTGTTTATGTGGTGGGCTATATTTACCAGTTTACATACACAGACCTATCCCTGCATCTCTGAGATGAATCTAAATTGATCATGGTGGATAGTGTTTTTGATGTTTTCTTGGATTTGGTTTGCTACTGTTTTATTGAGAAATTTCACATCTACACCTATATGGGATATTGGTCTATAATTTTCTCTTTTTTTTGTTGTTGAGTATTTGTGTGGTTTTGGCATCAGGGTAATAGTGGATTTATAAAAAGAATTTGGAAATGGCCTTTCAGTTTCTATTTTGTGGAATAATTTGTGAAGTATTGACATTGGTTTTTCTTTGAAAATGTGGCAAAATCCTGTGCTGAATCTGTTAGGCTGGATTTTTAATTATTGCTTCTATTTCAATAGGGTTTATGCATCTGTTTAAAATGTCCATTTTGTCCTGATTTAACTTTAGTATGTCATATATATCAAGAAATTCACTCATTTATTTTAGGTTTTCCACTTTAGTGGAATACAAAATTTTAAAATAAGTTCTTATGATTTTTGAATTTCCTTAGTGTCCAATCTAATGTCTCCCTTTTCATCTTCAATTTTATTAATTTGGAGATTTTTTTCTTCTGATTCGTTTAGTTTAAGGTTTGTTAATCTTGTTGACTCTTTCAAAGAGTCATTTTATTGACTCTTTGTATTGTTAGTTCTTTTCATTTGCTTGCTTCTATTTCATTGCCTTCTGAGTTTGGTTATTCCTGTCAATTTCTTTTTGGTGTTATTTATTTTGTTTTTTTTTTCTAGAGCTTTCAAGTGTGTCGTTAAGTTATTAATATGGTTACTTTCCAGGTTTTGGATATAGGTGCACAATGCTATGAACTTGTTTTTTAGAGCTGCCTTTATTATGTCCCTATGTTTTGTTGGCATGTTGTATTTTCATTTTCATTCGGTCCTAAAATAATTTTAGTTTCCTTTTTGATTTCAGTCTTGACCTGTTTTTATTCAGTAGCAAGTTATTCAGCTCCCATGAGTTTGTATACTCATATTGATGTTGATATTCAGCTGTAATCCATGGTGGTCAAATAGGAAGCAGGATGTTATTTCAATTTTTCCCTAAGACTTGCTTTGTGCCCTTGTATGTGGTCAGTTTTGGAGAAAGTTCCATGGGCTGCTGAGAAGAAAATGTATTATTCTTCAGTGTTTGGGAAAGTGTTCTATACATGTTTGTTAGGTCCATTTGATTTGTGATTTTGTTTAGCTCCAGGGTTTCTCTGTTTTTGTCTGGGTGACCAGAGAGGAAGGTATTAAAGTCATACACTATATATTAGGGTCAACATGTAATTTGAGATGTAGTAGCATCTCTTTTTATCAAATTAGGTACCCTTGTATTTGGTGCATAAATGTTTAGGCTTATAATAATATCCCATTGGTTGATTTTTCATTTAGTGAGTATGCAGTATCCTTTCCTATCTTTTCTGATTAGTTTTAATTTTGAAGTCTATTTGTCAAATACTAAGATACTATTTCTGTTTGTTCTTGGTTCCGTTTGCTTGGAACATCCGTTTCCTTCCTTTCGCCCTCGGGTGATATACTGGCTGGTTTTGTGTGTCAGTTAGACACAAACTAGAGTCATCAGAGAGCTTTCATTGAGGAAATGCCTTCATGAGATCCAGCTGTAAGGCATTTTCTCAATTAGTGATCAATGAAGGAGGGCCCAGCCCGTTGTGCCATCCCTGGGCTGGTGTCCTGGATTCTGTAAGAAAGCAGGCTGAATAAGCCAGGGGAGGCAAGCCAGTAAGTACTCCTCCATGGCCTCTGCATCAGCTCCTGCCTCCAGGTTCCTGCCCTGCTTGAGTTCCTGTCCTGGCTTCCTTCATCAGTGATGGACTATGATCTGGAAGAGTAAGCCAAATAAACCTTTTCCTCCCCAGCTTGCTCTTTGGTCATAGTGTTTCATCACAGCAACAGAAACCCTGACACACAGGTGATGTCTGTCATTTATGGGTGCGGTGTGTTTCTTAGATGCAGAAGAAAGATGGATCCTGATTTTTTTTAATCTGTTAGTCTATGTCTTTTTAGTGGTGAATTGAGACTGTTAATATTGGCAGTAATTATTGAGCCGTGTTTCTTAATTCCTGTTATTTTGTTGTGGTGGTGGTTTTATTTTTAAACTTCCTTTACTTTCTGGGATTATTTATTCCTTGTGTCCTGTTGGGTGTAGTTAACATTTTCTTAAGACTGAAGTTTTCCTTCTAATGCCTCATGTAGAGCTGGATTGATAAACAGAAATTTCTTAAATTTGTTTTTATAGTGAAATATTTTCTTTCTCTTTCAATTGTGATTGATAGTTTTGTTGGGTATAGCAGTCTGGCCTGGCATCTGAGTTTGTAGAGCATCAGACCAGGACCTTCTGGCTTTTATAGTCTCCATTGAACAGTCAGGTGTTATTCTTATAGGCTTGGCTTTATGTGTGACTTGGAGTTTTTTATTTGAGCCTTTTACTCTCCTTTTTTTTTGCTCTGTATATTTAGTGCTTTGATTACCATATGCTGCAGGAAGTTTCTCTTCTGGCCTTATCTGAATTGTTCGGTATGCCTTTTGCCACTTGATGGTATCTCTTTTTAGGTTTGGGAAATTTTCTTCTATAAATATCTTCTATGCCTTTGATCTGAGTTTCTTTTTACTTCTATATACTTATTATTGATAAGTGTGGTCTTTTCAAAGTATCCCAGATTTCCTGGATGTTTAGAGCCTTGATTTTTTTTTTAAATTTAGATTTAACGTTTCTTTGATTGATCTGCCCCTTTCTTTTACCTTGTTTTCAAGTCATCAATTTCTCTCTTCTACTTTATTCAGTGTGTTTAACCTCCCGAGTTCTTCATTTTGAGTTTGATTTCTGTTTGGTTTTAGTTTAGTGATTCTATTTATTTGTTAAAGTGTACTTTCATATCGTAAGTTGTTTCATTATTTCATTAAACGATTTGTGTTTTCATTGATACATTTATTCATATTCCCTTTAAGGTTCTTAAACATATACAGAATTGCTATTTTGAAGTCCTTTTCTTGTGCTTCATTGAAATCAGTTTTCTCAGTGCATATTATAAGGATGCTGGTTTTTAGAAGAGGCATACTGGTTGTTCAGGTTTCTGTTTTTGCGATGGGATCTAGGCATCTGGAGTTATGATGTTTGTGGTGTTTCTTGGTATGGATGTGTGGGCACTCTTTTGTTATGTGGGTATCCCATCCTTTGGTTGCTGTTACCCCAGTCTGACAGGTTGTGGAACCATATGCAGGTTTTTCCAAGTCTAACAACAAATCTTCTACACGGTAAATCATTATCACCCCTAAATATTTACTTAAAGGGTTTTTATTCAACAGATCAGACATTCTTGCTCATTAATTTTTTTTTGTGGGCTAAAATAAACTCTTTACCTGTGTTAATCTGTGGCATGAGAAATTCCTTCCTTACCATGTCCTATTTACAATCTCATCATGGTCCAGCTGTCAGTGAGGTTGGTATATGCATGGCTATGTATGTCCTGGGGCTCTTTAGGGCAGGGACTCAGACCATGGTTGTATTTGTACTGTTTCAGGGTCTGGCTGAAACCCTCACACAGGGATAAGTGGGCTCCATCTGCAGGAGGTGCATGGTAGGACCTTCTAGGGCCTGTAGAACAGCAGGTTTCAGGCTTCCAGCCTGAAGGTACAGTTCAGGCACTGCCTATAATAT